AAAAAAAAAAAAAAAAAATAGTAATATTTAAATTAACATGGCGTCAATTTTGGAATTCTCATTTGTGAGAATTCTTTTTTATTTTATTATATTTATTAGAACCAAAAATTACATAATATAAATTTATGTTCATATCTAAATATATTTATATTAATATTTAAATATATTTTTCATTGTATCAGATTTTGAGAATGAACGATTTTATATGAGATATACAATTTTTTTTTGAGATATACACCAATTCCCTTTATTGGTATTCTTTTTGTCAATTGTTTTTAAAAAGAAAATTTTTAAAATTTTGTATAGTAAATCGATTTTTTGTTTTTGTATACACAAATTTATTGCAAAACCTATATATATATATATATATATATATATATATATATATATATATATAAATAAATTTACTACCTAAAAAGTTGTCACACATATAATAGGAATGATGTCCAGAAGCACCAGTTCCTTCTGATTTTGGGGTTCCGTTTAACAGTCATGGTAAGTCTTTTTGTATACAAAAATATAAAAATATTAGTGAATATTATATAGCTAATCAAGTATAATCGATATTAAACTAACAACTCATTGTCTGACTACCTAAGTAGATTATCATATTATAAAAAGATCCATCTTAGGATTTCATTTAAATGCTAGAGCACCAGTTACTTCAAATCTTAGGGTTTCAATTAAGATCAGGGTCAATCTTTATGTGCGTTGGAATATTATTAAAAAAATCGGTTCTTAGCAACGGTCGATTATATGTTGTTGTTTTTACGTGTAAATAATAGATAAGAGATGTGCATTGACATGTTCTTAAAAAAATCTTTTTTTGATCACGACCAATTGTATGTTGTTACGCGTGTAAGTAATAGGTCAAGAATGGTTAAGGTCAACATTTATTGTACGTTGGCATGTTAAGTAATAGATCAAGAAGAGTCAAGGTCAACATTTATTATACGTTGGCATGTTTTTAAAGAAATCGATTTTTAGTCACGGACAATTATGTTGTTTGTTTCGCGTGTAAGTAATATAAAAGTGTTAAAAATATTAGTTTGTGGGGAAGACGAGTTGCTCAGTTATTGAACAAATTATGTTGTGTACAAGAATGTTTAAATAATATATTTATTTGCATGAGAAACATTTTATGGTTTGATAATTTTCCTACGAATTATCACTCTTTTATCTATTAATACATTTTAATTTTTAATATTCTCTAAATTAAATACAGTCCGTGCATCGCAAGGGTTACATACTAGTCGAAGATAATGAAAAGTTGATTAATTTGATATATTATATATGTAAAATCGATAAGAAATACAAAAGTTATCAACTTTTAAAATACATTTATAATTCAATAGCTAATTGAAGGAAACAAATCAAAAGTCAGAGATATATTAGTCACTTAGTGTCTCACTATGTAAGATTTACAAAGAATTAAAGGGTTATTTGAATACAAGTGATATAAAATACCTAAGTTAGCTAAATAATATTTATGGAATGTCCGAACCTAGATTATTAATTATTAATATATCAATATTATTTGTTCAAACCTAATTACGAAGCATGATTCTTCATCAAATAGGATTCCGAAGCACAAAAAACAGCCACGTAGGCTCAGCTCATTCGAGAATTATATATAGGAGGTTATTATATATAGGAGGCATTATCTATTAAGTATATACATAATTAATTTGTTATGAATGAAATTATGTAATATCTTTCCAATCGTGTGGGAAACATAAAAAATTCCCTTTTTTCAAATGAAAGTGGGCTAGCTTGCAATCGAACCTGCTCCGGCCCGTGATGATGGCGGCCCAAAGGTGAGGCCCAAATAAGCCCGCTTTTAAATGGCCTGGCAGCTGTTAAAATCTACCACTGTAAACTCACCGCCAAATTCCGCACCTCCCCTTCTGGTTTCCGGCACGGCGGAGACCTGCACGAGCTCACAAGTTCACTCACATCCAAGAAACATACAGAAGTTATTTTCTTCCAAAATAAATTAAATGATCAGAACCTTATTTCACCTGCGTTCATCACTGTCACTCTCAACTGCGATAAACCCTCCATCTTCGCCTTCAGCTTTCCTGTTTCCTCTCTTTTCTTCCCACTTCTCCAGCTCGCCTGTGTTAGAGAGAAAGCGTTCCGATCCCAGCGACGGTGATTTCAATGAGGATCCCTCCCGCCCGCCCAGGCTCTTCGTCATACAGCCCAGGATCCGGCCCGAGACGCATTTGAGGTGGAAGCTCGAGGAGGCCTTGAATCTCGCCAAATCGCTCGAACAACAGCGAGACGGATTTTATGAGACGGAGTTTCTGGACAAGGAGACCCCGCCTCATCTGGTCGTTCAGAATCCCATCGTCAGGTCGCCTCGAGCGGGTTAGGGTTTTATTGAACACTTTCTTTGTTGATTTTTTTTTTTTTTTTTTTCAGTTGTGTTGTTTGCAGTTAATTGTGGTAGCTAGGGCTTGTACCGCATCCAGTTCGATTGAAATCGTCGTCTTAGATTGTTGTTAACTGTCTAATTTTCTTTTTAGAAGATCAAATTATTTGCCAGCAGTTGCAGAAGAGTTTCTTTGTGCTTTCTATTTTCTTTATGTTGTCCATTTGATGCGTTGAGGGAGTCCGTAGCTTGCAATTGTTTGTGGAGAATGACAGCTAAATGGTGCTGAGTAAGATGTTCAAGGGTCTGAATTGAAAACAGAAGGGGGGCGTAATTTTGTGCTTGCCTGAGCTTTGTAATCGGCACTTGGGACTTGAGTGTTGAGTCTAACTGTTTATATATTGGTTTTTTAAGTACTGCGCAACTAATTAGGCATGGGAATATTGTGTTAGTTTAAAAATCTAAAAATTTTATGCTTAAAATTGAGCGTTTTGAGTTGAATGATATGGTTCCTGTGTTGTTAATTTGTAACTTACCCATGCTTATTTTAATATTACAGATACATATTTCGGACTTGGGACAGTAAGCAATATTAAGTGCCACTTGAATGATTTGGAATCAAAGGTTGAGCATTTGTTTCTTGAAATCGGCCATTCTTTCTATAAGAACACATAACTGGAACATTGTTTGCTACAATTATTTTTCTTACTGACAGGATGAGGTGGATGCTATTTTTGTAAATGCTATTCTCACGGGTGTTCAGCAACGTAATTTGGAGGTGAGTTTTGTGCATATAGTGACATGTCATTCATAGTTAAACCTTTTTGTTCTGAGTTTCCATGTTGGGACCATTGTGCTGATTTCTTGTTTTCATGCTTCCACAGAGGACATGGGATAAACCTGTTCTGGACCGTATTGCTCTCATAATAGAGATTTTTAATGCTCATGCTCAGACAAAGGAAGCTAAACTGCAGGTTTTATTGAATTCCTCTTCTATCCTGCCGTATTTGCAAAAAAGTGATGTTCAACATTTAGATTAAAAATCTTGTGTCCATTTATATAGTCTGAGTTAGCAGCCCTGATGTACAAACGGAGCAGGCTCGTTCGAGTTCGTGGTTGCGATGGGCGTTATACATTTGGTGGAGTTGGAGAAGCTGAAGTTGTTAGTGCCAGGGGGTAAGTTTATTGTTAACGTCTCAGTTGTTTGTTTAGGGTGTGATTGGATATGGATTTGATCCAAAAAAACCAATCATGTTTAACTCAATCTCTTTATTTTAACTCAACTTTAATTCAACTCCACTATTCTCAATATTATTAATATAATTAAACAATATCAATCAATCATTCTTACAAATCAAATCAACTTTATTTTACTATTCATCCACTCACATAACATCATCTCTCTCTTACTTTTAAATCAAATTAACTTTAATTAATTTATTTTAAATATTATTGTAATATAAACTCAAAATTCCACTAACAATTGACTATACCGCCTTTTTCGAAATTAACTATGGTTAACAAAAAAACCAATAAAAAACAAATCCATATACAGTCACACCGTTAGTTTCTTAGCAGAGAATGAACTTTTCTGAAGATCCAAATCCATATCCAATCACACCCTTAGTTTCTTAGTGGTGAATGAACTTTTCTGAAGATTGTATGGATTTTTCGGCGTAACAAATGTCAAACGCTCGTATAAAGCACCAATTTTTTTTATCTTTTTATTTTTTTTGTATGCTTAAGTTACAATCACTTAGTAATAAAATCTAATGATTCGCAGGAGAGGGAGTGGAGGGCGTGGTTTTATCAGCGGTGCTGGAGAAACTGAGCTTCAACTTCAGCGTCGAAGGTGTGTGCTTCATATCCTCTTTAGTCTTTTATATATCCCACTTGGAGAAAAGTAGCTTACACTACACATGCACACAAGATTTTACTGTACTCTTTACAAATTTTGAGGCTGTTGTTTTACATGCTAATGAATTACACTTATCATAATTAGTCTGAAACTGTCATGATAATATGCATGTCTGATCCCTTCTAGTTACACTGCCCTTGCAAAGTAGCCTCTCCAGGCTATTGCTCTTGGAAGAATTTTTCAGTCACTGGTTGGGGTGAATCCACATACGGGCCAACTACATTTTGTATTGTTCACCAAAAGACATGTGACATAAAAATGGCTAAATTTGGTAATGGAAATAAGATGAATAGTGAAGATGATGCACGTAAAGACATTTTAACATTTTATGGGCTTCAACAGGAACACATTATTTTGGGCTTCTCATTAATAGATAAAATGAAAAAAGGATGTTTATTTATTTGTGGGCTTTAACCAAAACATATTGTTTTGTGCTTTTCAGATATATCATCCATCAACTACCAACATACCCAGTATATTCCCAACAGGTTGGGGTCTGGGGAGTCAGTTATACGCAGACCTTACCCTTGTAATTATACAAGGAGGCTGTTTCCATAGCGACCCAAGGTGCGTTGCGTCGTTTGATATATTTTTTCTAGAAACTTCACTAATACAAGAAGCACTAGAATTTAATTGAGCCATTTTCAGATATATCCATTTAAAAAAAAAGACTATGATTTGTGTTTGTCCATTGCAAATGGAGCTGGAAGAGTCATTGTTGACAATTCTCCTGGGACTAGATCAAAATGACTCAATTAAATTCTAGTGCTTCTTCTATTAGTGAAGTTTCTAAAAAAAAATAAATATATCAAACGATGCAATGCACCTTGGGTCACTACGGAAACAACCTCCTTGTATAATTACAAGGGTAAGGTCTGCGTACAACTGACCCCCCATACCCCAACCAGTTGAGAATATACTGGGTATGTTGTTGTTGGTGTTGTAGACTATGATTTGTGTAAAGCAGCACAGAAAAAATTGGACAGCGAAATTGATAGAGGACAATATAAAAAACTTTCAAAGCTGAAAATAGTAATAGCGGGTTTTGCTCTAAAGTTCTATGCATTGGACTTCATTTTATTTTTCCTTCCGAAGTGAAGTGGGCTATTTTTTGGTATCACGCACTATATTTTTATTTTTTCTTGCTGATAATATCTTGGATCTGCACTCGCTGGTTTATCAGAAAATGTGATTATCTTGCTAGTTAGGAGTCCACTAATTGCTACGTCTTTCTTTGAATGGTCATTCCTTGTCAAACCTGCATATGCATTTTTATTTTACATATCCTCGTTCCTTTTTTTTTTTTAATATATATATACATATACATATATATTATTATACATATAATTTTTCTCCAGAATCTCAGAACGGAGACAAAAATTACTCTCAGAAATCAAAGAAGTTCGAAGAACTCGAGCCGTGCAGCGTGCTGCTAGAAAAAGGGAGGGAGAGTCTTTGGGACAAGAACTTGCTACCGTTGCTGTAGTTGGATATACAAATGCTGTAGGCAGCTCATGCTATTTTCTTCACTCTGCTTTTGCTGGAATTAGATTAGTTGTGTTGTAAAATATTTTGAAATTCTTCCAGGGAAAGTCTACACTGGTCAGTGCGCTCTCAGACAGCTATCTTTACTGTGATGATCGGTAAGACAGAAGAATACCCGAAATCACTCTTGCATTTCCAAATAACCATTTCTTGATTGTGCTTTATTATTTATTTTATGGGTCACATTTGGATACTCGATACTCTGTATACGTCCTTTTACCTATCTTTGTCTGTGTTTGGCTGTGGTCATCATCATGCAACATTTGTAGTTTATGCAAGCTATTGATCTCTTACATATAACATTCCATATCTCAGATTGTTTGCTACCGTCGATCCAAAGTTAAGCAGTGTCGTTCTTCCATCAGGGTAATTATACTATTGTTTACCATTTTGGTCTTCACTGAAATATTGATGTCAAACTCTGGCAATTACCAACTTTTTTTGTGTGTGTGTGTGTGTGTGTGTGTGTGTGATCTTAAACTGAATCTGTGCGTTTTAGGAGGAAAGTGCTGCTTAGCGACACAGTTGGGTTTATCTCAGATTTGCCTGTTCAGGTTTAATGAAAATGCTATGCACCAGATTTTTTTTTTTTTTTTTTCCTTATTGAGGAAAAGTTTTCTTAGTATTACCAAGTATTTGTTATTGCAGCTGGTCGAGGCATTTCATGCAACACTGGAGGAGGTTGCTGAAGCTGATCTTCTCGTGGTATGATTAATTTTTACGATCATGCACTTCTTCTATGTTAACAAGATCCTTACATATTGTAAAATATTATTAAAATTGTCAGCATGTGCTGGACTCGAGTGCGCCGAATCTTGATGAACACCGGAAAACAGTCATGCAAGTTCTTGGAAGGATTGGCGTTTCGCAGGAGAAACTTCAAAACATGATTGAAGTATGGAATAAGGTAATAAATTGCGATTTCATTTTGATGCTCCCATTTTTTATTTACCCTAAGTAAATACATTGCGTTATCAAAACAAGTCTGTATCGCCCTATGTTGCTGCTGTATATATTACAAAAAAACCCTAATATTTTAATAAATGAAGAAATTACTCATTCACGTGCACACAAAATTAGAAGAGCTGCAAGTTACAAGAGAAATCCACTGCTAAAATAGGAAAGCCTCGGTGAAAGTACACCAGATACGGAATTACTAAATTGACTCTGTTATTGCCTAACACCTTTCGGCAGGTTGATATCCTAGAAGAGAACTCTGATGGCATCAATCAAGAATTCAATTTCTCAGATAACGAAGATGCTGACGTCACCAGTGACCAAGTAACCGATCAACCTGATGAGGAGCAAGATACTAAAGCTGATGAGCTGTCTCAGGATCTTGGAGACTATTCAGATGGCTGGCTCTCGTGCGATGATGAGAATGAAGACTCTTGGGTTGACTATGAGGGAAGGTCCATAGGATGCAACTCTGCGAATGGCCCTCAAGATGAGCTTTCAGTGCCTAGTGATGAAGGCCTTGAATCCACTTGCCATGTCAAAACATCAGCTGTGACTGGAGTCGGTTTACAAGAGTTGCTGGAGATAATTGACGAGAAATTGGGGCAGTGTCGTGTGGTGGAAAGGGGTGTGTTTGATCGGAAATGGAGACCTCCCCGTGATGAAGACAATAATAAGATAGCAGTTGAGCTATAGGCAATATAGACATGGAACTCTCTAGAAATATGACGCAAGCTGTGTATGTGTTGGTTATACATGTAAGAGAGTACGTATTATAAATCACAGTAAGGGAAGCAAGATATTGTGGTAGTTTTGGATGGCAAAGTAAGACATAGTCTTGGTTGATGATGTTCACTGTTTTTTGTTGAGTTCATTGTTGATTTTTTCTTCATTAGTTTGATCCCATCTAACCTCAAGACAAATAGACTATAGTTGCGCATCTAAATCTTAAATTACAAAATATGAAACTGAAATAGAAAATAAGAACCGTTAAATTCACAAAATAAAATTTAGAAGTTATATTGTATTTGACAAAGAAATTCAAATCTTAACCGATGCCAATTTCTGCCTAAATAAATCATTCTTAACCGATGCCAATTTCACAACCCTGCACATTCCATTTTCCCCACACATTACCTCTGAAATACATGTACCCTCTTTCCCATCTCAAGCTCAACTTCATACAAGCCTTATTCCAAGTTCTCGTCCCGCACCAGCCTCTTCACCTGGGCCAACTTGTCCGATCTGTGGGCCCTGTGTACATGCATGAGCACTACATTCAGGCTGCATTGGATGGGTCCAGGTCAATGTACGGTTTGATGGTCCTTGAGCAACAAGGCTGGGATAGTACAACATTTTGTACAAGCATCCTGGCCTCATCTAATTTCCCAACTCACCAAGAGGTTGACCACATGCATGTGTAGGCGGACCTTGGACGACTCCTTCAAGGCTTGATAGTATTGTTGATCATACATCAAGAAAGGGGAATTATTCACAGACACTTGGTTTGACAAAGTATCTCAACTTAATGATTTGAGAGTGCACCGGTCTCCCTAGCCAAGAAGGCAAAACAACATGCAGAACAAGCGGAGATTGCACAAGCAAATGTATAAAACAATTGTCGAGAAATTGGTTGACCCGCATGTCTGAGTTCCAAAATACGGCCACCACCACATTTCGAGTATAAATCGAGCAAACTGCTTCCGACGTGTGGGTTATGGTGCTAACTTGTCTTGATCAATCAGCTTTGAAACTGCGTCCCACCATGCTTGTAAAATCAGTTAAGAAGTAGCTAAAGTCGATGACAAATATTTCATTAAGCCACTGTTGTTATATGAAATTTAACAACCACAACACACTGTAATTAAAGCAAAGAAAATCAAGGTTTTGTATTATTTTTTATTTTTTGTTTAGTAGAGGACATCGGTGCAAGTGTGGACCGAATTAATATCTCTTATTATTCAGTAAAAAAATTGTTTCGAAAAACAGGATCCCCTCTACAACAACAAATTCTGCTATTTATAGTGGGATATGCTTTGACTTCTTGTACGAGGTAGATAGGATTGCATTTAATTCATCGTGCCTTCTTAAAGCGGTCTGATACTTGTGGAGGGGACAACAATGATTGCAATTTGTTCGCGGTCCAATCAGAGATGCGCTTAACCACCTGCTTTGGAGTTCGGCCAAGTCGGTTCTCGGTTCATAAATCGAGAGTTTATGTTGCAAATTCTTTGGTATACATCTGTATTAAAATTTAAACATTTGAACCATATGATAAATGGATGGACGTTTATAATTAAACAATTTGAACACAACATTTGTTATAAAAAATAATTTAACAATTTTATACCAAAACTGATGTTTAAAAACGTGTGATATTAAAATTGTGTTGCTACAAATAATATTTTCATATCATAGTGATCATTATGTAAATCTAATATGTCGTCATTTTATTGATGTTAAACCAATATTAATTTTTAAAAACTCAAAATCATTTGATACAAAATATGTTGATTAAAAATCATTTTTTAAGAATTCTAAAGCCATAAGATATCAATAAATAAATCAGAAAGATAAACATTGTTTTCATATCTTCCAAATTTTTGTTTCGAAATCCTTGGGATACATCCATATTAAAATTTAAACATTTCGACCATACGATTAATGGAATGAACGGTTACAATAAAAAAAATTGAACTAAACATTTGAAATAAAAAATTAATTTAAAATAATCAAGGTTATATTATAATTATCCTGCTATACAGATATAAATCGAAATACCATATGATACTCAAAACTTGGATGAGTAGTAAATAATAACAATAACCTAAAGAAATCGGATTGTGCACGTGATATTCAATGAAAAACTTTTATGATTTGTTACCAAACCTATAGGACACAATCACGTAAAAAGTTTAATCAGATATAAAAAAATGTGTTAAGGTGTTAATTACAATTCTTTAATAATTTATTTCATATTCTAAAGCACACACCAATTCATTGATAAGAAATTAAGTATAAAAAATGTTTATAACTCAATCATTTATTGCAATCTTTTCAAAAACTATTAAGTCAATATTTATTGCAATCTTTTCAAAATATCAAATGCCGGTGGGATTTTTTTTTTTTTTTTTTTTTTTTTTTTTTTTTTTTTTTTTTTTTCTTTGTGTGGGATTCTCTCAAGTCATTATGTCGTACCGATAAACCATATTAAACAAAGAGTTGTACGCGTATTTGATGCCTAATACAAGAACCTATTGAAAATTGTTTCTCATGATGAAGAGGTATTTTTTGTTCTACTGTTTATCAAATCATTAGATATATACATTTTATTTAAAAGCTATATAATATTTTATTAACATGTGATTCATTTTCCTTGATTATGTAGGGTGGACGTATAATTGGGATGATACTTTCAGTCAATATCAAAAAATGTCGAGATTTTCGTAAAGAAGGCCAAGTGTACATTGTTCGCAACTATAAATTGATTCAGACATTGGATTATATCAGTCCACAAATCACAAGTTTATGCTATCATACATGGGATGACCGATTTGGTGAAACCACGTATCAAATGTTTAAGCAGACAAACGATGATCCCATTTATTTGAAGGACAATGCTATATTAGGACCGACACTGCATGTTGTTGAGTCTAACAATGAGTACATGACATCATTGAATTTATCTAATGGTCATATATACTTAAGGTCCAAAGGTACTTGCAAGTCAGACTTTTAGAACGACTGTAACTCCTTCCGATGTCAGAAAGTTCCAACGGTGGCAAATTTCTATTATGGTTTCATGCACCATGACTGTAAACAAGAGTTTGTGACAATCATTATCGTATGTTGGTTTATTTGTCAAGATGGCGGTTTCAGTCATGAACAGTTATACAATGTGTCTCATGTGTCACCAACCGAAGTAGTTTGAAAATATTAGCCCGTGGTGACGATGACTCGCCAATAATCCACAAGAAAATGCTCAATACTTTATAACATTTTACTTTTTTTACGACCCGTTTATTTTTGTTGCATATATAACAAGTTTATTAATTTTCATACTGATATTATATTCCAGTAAAATATTCGTTGTAAGAAAAGAGATCTCGCCGGGAGGGTGCATCATACCTGTCGCGACTAGTTTATTTTGAAGTGACCGATCTAGTTATTTTTCTATTTAAACTTTTTTTTTTTTTTTTTGCGACTGGAGGTATCCCCACGTTCAACTCCGAGACTTCACCACGAACTGCCAGGCCCCCCACGGGGTACGGGCCTAACGACCTAAGGGATTCACACCCAGAGGTGTGGGACTAATCCTCCAGGAGAAGTGAAGTGCCCCATCCCCACTTCCCACGATAGTCAGGTTCGATCCCTTGACCTTCGCTTTCACAGGGAGTTTCACCCTCCCACTAAGCCAGTGGACT